ATTTTAAGTTCTAAATCTTAATATGATGTCCTTAAATCTTGGGGCGTCACAGTGTGATTCTATACAATTTTATTATTAGGATCATAATCACTTTTAGATCCTATTGAATTTAAGATCCTGGTGCGATCCGAATCACTTAGCCCAACTAGAGTTGTTGTAACGCCCTCAAAATTAATCCATTATATATCATTGACATGCATTATTTAAAGAAGACAATTTATTAATTCATTCATCAGAGTATTATTAAATAAAGCATTACATGTAACATCGAATAAAATGCCCTACAGGCTTACATCTTTCCAAGCCAACACTTGGATTCAAAAATATGAGTTATAATCTCAATACAAGAAAAGCCCTAGGCTTGAATGTTTACATGTACTAATAAATAAAAAAAAAACTATTAACTAAAGGTAGTCTTCTTCAATCCAAATGCCAAACCCTCCCAAGCTAAGTCCTTGGAGGTAGTTTATCACCTGAACCTGAAAATGATGTTCCCATAAAGGGTGAGCCACAGCCCAGTAGAAATATACTAAACCACACATAAGCAATGAATAAAGCAATAGCATTCAACAGATTGTTAACCAAAATAATCAATTACTTCATTTTACAGTCTCGTGACACTATTGCCAAAGATACGTTTTACTTTCCAATTTTATCAACATGGCTCAGAACCTGGCCAAACTTAAAACAGTAGATCACATATATCACATTCACATCCTTCCAATATCAACAAACAAATGAGACTCAAGCTCAAATCAAACACTTCATACTCCCAGATTGATACACATTTTAGTGCTGTATCAATAAAACACTTCTATATAAATAAGCACACATAAAAGTGATGCTAATGGAGTCCATCCCCTATCTCCTCCCAAACAAAATCCGGTTAGAGGTCCATCCCCTATCTTCCCCTAAACCGTGGAGTACATCCCCTATCTCCTCCCAAACAAAATCCGGTTAGAGGTCCATCCCCTATCTTCCCCTAAACCGTGGAGTACATCCCCTATCTCCTCCCAAACAAAATCCGGTTAGAGGTCCATCCCCTATCTTCCCCTAAACCGTGGAGTACATCCCCTATCTCCTCCCAAACAAAATCCGGTTTAGAGGTCCATCCCCTATCTTCCCCTAAACCGTGGAGTACATCCCCTATCTCCTCCCACACAAAACAATGTACGCAAATGCAATGCTCAATCAATACAAGTATTTTCTGTATCAATGCAATAGTCAAAATTAATGACTAAACCAATGTCTTCTAAAATTCATAAAACTATTTGAAAGTGTTTTCTAAAGGAGGTGTTTAGGAAACGGTTTGCCTAATGAGTTTTCCCTTCTTTGTATCAGTTTTTTCTGTTTTTGAGAACAGAGAACAGAAAAATAATAATCAAATACCAAATGTGTGTATTTTATTTTCTCTCTAATATAGCACATGGGGCTTTGGGTGTGATTTTAGAGATACAAATATTTTATAGTTTTCATTTTTTGTATTTTTTCTTTTACACTTTATTTCAATAGGGAATCAATTGAAAATTAACATGGTGATGCAAAACTATGATGAAAAATCAGTGACTTAAAATTTTCTTAATATTAAAATTGTTACACCTCAATACTAATTAATGTTTTTAGGGCTCCCTTCCCCTATGTCTTATCTTCTATTATAAATGTTTCTCCCTCCCTAATTTTGTTGACATGTCATAAAAAATATATTTTTTCTTATTTTAATTAAGTAGCTTTAGAATACAAAATTTGTTTAAAATTATAGGTAGTAGACATAAAATAGAGTTAAAATTTGTATAATAAGATAACATAATTGCTTATTTTTTAAGTACACAAAATTTAAATTTTAAAAAATTATAAGTGGCATTGGCTTTTTTTTTTTTTTTTTTTTTTTTTTTTTGTGTGGCTTTAATATATTTTTGTTGGTCTATTTTTTTCTCTTTTGTTTTTTTGAATCTCCTTTTTTATTTCTAGTTTGGCCTCATCTTGTAAAATCTAGATCTACTTTTGCTAAAAGCAGATTTTGCTTTTTGTAGTTGGGAGAGAGCTAGAGGCAAGGTGGGAAAAAGTATTGCAATAGATAATAGTTCCCTAGTAGTTGAAGCTTTTGAAAGTTAAATTGTTTTTTTTCTTTTAGTGTTTTCCTTTCGTTGCTTATGTTATATGTTTATGTTAATGACCTTTTATATTTATATTTTTACTGTGCTATTGAGTAAATGTCTTTTTTCGAAACCAACACACGGTTAAAATCATGTCTTCCGTTTTTCTCCTTAATTCTATTGTCGAAGACTTCATGTACCTGATTTGGGTTGTTTGTCACTATAAATGTTATCACGTTAGTCTAGTACATTGCGATTGTGTTTGACCAATGATGTTGCGTGTTTTGTTCACATTATTCTTTCTTCTCTTTTTTTTTCTTCTATTACGTGCATATAATCTCCTCCTGTTATTTGGGTTACGTTTTTTTGACAGGTTATTTTGCTTGAAATTTAAAATCAGACAGTTGTATTTCAAAAAAGGTATTAAGTAATTTTTTGAAGGTTTTATTTAGTGTTAATAAATGGGCAGCAGTAAACATTTTTGTCCAATCGAAAAAGGTGACATCTAGTGGCGTAGCCAGGAATTTGATGGAGAGGGGCACAAATTAATGATAACATCAGTGTATTTGGTTTGAGTTTTTTGAATTAAGTTTTTTAAAAATTAAGTTCTTTTGGTTTTTGTGTTTTTTTGTTTTTAGTAAGTATTTTTTATATTTTAAAAATGTTTTTTTTAAAAAAAAAATTTTTTATTTTTTTAAAAAAAAAAAAATCAATTTTTTTAATTTTTTCAAAAAAAAAAAAAAAAACTAACACATAATTTTTTAAAAGTTTTTTTCAATTTTAAAGTTGATATTTTAAAGTTTTGAAAATTAAAAATAAATGTTAAATTATCATGTTCCTTTATAGATAATTATAAATGATGAACAATTATTATTTGAAGGGTAATTCCGACTATTAAAAATTTAATGGGACTTGAAGGTTCAAAAAATCTTAGTTATGACTTAATGGAGTATAAGTTCATAAATTAGAACTTGTGTAAATGTCTCTTACCTCAAATAGGGGGCAAGAGAGATTAAGGGTGTTTTGATCTTCTTACCTCAAATAGAATCTAATGAAATGGTAAAAAAGAATATGAATTGGATGGAATAAAACTCTTAAAAAGAGGATTTATCAAAAAAACTCCCATTTAAAAAATTGAATTATTTTTTTGTGCAAAATTAAAAATTCTCAGTTTATGATCATGATGGAACATTGATATGCAAAAACTTAAATAAAAAAAAAAGTTTAAAAATGAAAAAAATCATAATGTTCTCAGTTTTAAAACTAGAAAAAATTGATAATGTTATCGATTTTACTAGATAGGTAAATCAAACCAATAAGTAGAAGTGTAAAAACGTTCACTCTCATGTTCTGTTTTTTTATCAATTAGTAAGACAATTATTTTGAACACTACTATGCAAAATTGATAATATTCTTAATTTAAAAAATTGAGAAAAATTGATAATATTCTTAATTTTACTAAATTGGACTTTTTAGTTCAAAAAATCTTAGATAGAACTTGAGTTACCATAACATTTATAAATAAAACTTTTAGGTAATTAATTCTCAATAAAAACTAAGAACCCACTCAATTTTTTCACTAATAAAAAATTATTTTTTTAATATTTACCCAATGTTTTAGTTTTTTCAACAACTTTTTTTTATCATAATTTAAAAAAAAAAAAATTACTTGAAAAAAACCATTGTTAAACCAGTTCAATGGTTATACTAGAATAATAACAAAAACGAATCTAAACTACAATATTAATTAATGAAAAATAATATGGTACACACTCTTAAATATGCACATGAAAAAATAATATAATTTTATATTTTTTGAGTCATAACTAAGTCTTCGTTTGGAATGTGGGTTGATTTTTTGATTGTTTAGGGCTAAAAAGCCTAGATTGTGATGAGTTTTTTTTATTATTTTTTGACTTGTGGGAAAGAAAAAATGAAATAATTATAGTTTGGATGTAACATTTTATCTTATTGACATTTTAACCTATTTTTTTCTTTTTGTGGCTAAAATAGCCTAAAACCAACATTTCAAACATAGCTTAAAAATAAATAAAAATATCATAACTAAATACAACATGAGAAATAATTAAAGAACTCATAAATTATAACTAAAAAATAAAATTATATGATTAAGGACATATCTAATATAATATAGCTTTTCTAAAGATGTGTATGTTAAAAGTTTCCGAAATTATAATCATGATTGGATAGCATTTTTTTAGGCTCTATTTGTTTTGAGAGATAGATGTGAGAATGTGATTGAGATAAATATAGGACCTACTATATGTTGTGTTTATTTTGGAAGATTGGGAAGGGATTTATAATTTCACGAGATTAAGATGGACCTTGGTGTTGGAATTGAGATGGATGACGTAGAGGTGGTATTAGGATATTAGGTTATTAGTCCTTCTGCTTAGGTTATTTATTTATTTAGTTTTACAAGTTAGGCATTTTTTTTTAACATTAATGTTTAATATTTTTGTATTTTTTCTTAAGTAAAAATCATAATTTTATTTGTTTTAATATTTTATATTTCTTTTATAGGATAATAATTTAACAATTTTCATACTAACAACTATCATCAAAATAAACACAATTTTACTTAATCTCTTCACTATCAATCATCTCTATTCTACCTCTAAAAACAAACGACCATGCATTCTATCTCTGAAAACAAACGAGGCCTTAAAGAAGTTTACAAGTACTGAAATCAATTTAAATCAAATTAAAACAAATAAAATTTTAGGTTATTTACACTATGACCTTCTCAATTATTAACAAATATTATTTTATTTCATTCATGTATGAATTCATACAATTTGATTCCTTCAATTATAAAAGTGTATTGCTTTTATTCCTTGCATTTAGACCATCTCAAAAAAATATGTATTTATACAATTTTTCAAATTAAGGGAATTAATATGTTCGGATTCATAGACAAAAGGGAATTAATTGATATTTACTAACAATTATGGTTCTTAATGTCATTAACCCTAAAATTTTCTAGAAAATACATAAATTGCAATAATGACGCAGCAATCATGCCGCAACACGTGTCAAGCTTTCAATATCCAGTTCATCCCTAAAACTTTCCTTTCCCAAAATGAAGCACATAACAATTTGACTAAAAATCTGTGTCAGCCGTTGATCTGGTGGTGGTAATCCTACTTGAGCCGCTAGCCAGTGCATGTACCCAAACTGCCATTCATCAAATCACAAAAAAAAAAAAAAATAATAATAAAATAAAATAAAATCACCAAAATTTATTTTTTTTAATTATAACAGCTAATCCTTTATATTTTAATCTCTTATATTTTAATTTCAATTATAATGTCACTTTTTGTTTATAGTTTTACTGCAGTTTACCAAAATGAATATACGTATTACATGCGACATTATTTTGGAGATTAATTAGAAGTAAAGAGATTAAGTCACTCACATATAAATTATTATTTCTAATATACTAATACCACCTCTTATTTGTATCAGTGTGGATATTTTTTTAATTAAGCAAGAATTTGGAAAAATGACAAGTAGAAACAAGGATGAGAATTAACCTCAAATGGATTAAGAAGATGGGTATGATGCTTGGGAATTTGAGATTCCTCCATTTGGAGGTAATGTTGTTGAACATCAGCTAGCATCTCCTCTTTAGATGGCAAAAGCAACTTACCAGATAAAACCCCTGCTATCCACTTTGATTGTAACTCCATAAGAAGAAAAGTTATACCCTGATTCACATTGCGAAAAAAGTTTGCAATTTGCTTTTAACACTATGGATTAAAATATGTAAAAAAAGTGTGCGAAACTAGTGAGATTGAAGTGAAATTCAACAAAAATCATATGGATCACTTGTTCTAAGAGAAAAAATTTCATGTTTACCTCCTATTTCTCAAAAATCAAATAGACTCTGGTCCTTTAAGTTATATCAATTTTACAATTAAGCTATTCGAATAATGATAAATATTTGACTCATGTTGTCACTTGCCGTCAACAATTGGAAAAAATTTGCCAATCGTATATGTTGGGGCAATCCCACATCGCTTGAGAGGGACACTTGCAACCAACTTATAAGCGTACCGGCCCCCTTCATCTGTCAACATGCCTTTTTCCCTCTTCCAGGGAGGAACAAAACTGTGAGGGGGCAAGCTCGCAGTGGCCCAACCCCAAAACGGACAATATGTTGACACACCGCGAGGGACCAGGTACGTGCATTGCCACTAGAAGGAGGGCTTTCGGCAAACTCTCCCGCTGTTCGCGGCCGAGTCCGTTAGGGGTTATGTTGGGTCTATCCCATATCGACTCGGGAGGGACTCCTCGTCTACCTTATAAGTGTACTGGCCCCCTCTCTATCTGTCAACAGGCTTTCTAGAAGCAAGCTCAAAGCGGCCCCCAGACCCCAGGAACAAAACCGTGAGGGGGTAAGCTCAAAGCGGCCCAACCCCAAAGCGGACAATATGTTGCTCTGCCAGCTGAGTTGTTCCAGCACCTCTCCCAGACAACAGGCCTTCTGGGGGCAAGCTCAAAGCTGCCCAACCCCAAAGCGGACAATATATTGCTCTGCCGGCTGAGCTGTTCCAGCACCCCTCTATCTGTCAACAGGCTTTTTAGGAGCAAGCTCAAAGCGGCCCAACCCCAGGAACAAAACTGTGAGGGGGTAAGCTCAAAGCGGCCCAACCCCAATATGTTGGGGCAATCCCACATCGCCTGGAAGGGACACTTGCAATCAACTTATAAGCGTACTGGCCCCTTCCACCTTGTAAGAAGCCTTTTAAAGCCGTGAGGCTGACGGGCGTCGTTTCGCCACCTCGCCAGAGCAGACAATATCTTACCGGGGCACGAGAAGCCAGTCACGTCAGTTTGGTGGCCCATGCAGGTCGTCCGGCAAACTCTCCCGCTGTTCGCGGCCCAGTCCGCTGGGGGGTTATATTGGGGCAATCCCACATCGCTTGGGAGAGACATTTGCAACCAACTTATAAGCGTACTGGCTCCCTCCACCTTGTAAGAGGCCTTTTAAAGCCGTGAGGCTGACGGGCGTCGTTTCGCCACCTCGCCAGAGCGAACAATATCTTACCGGGGCGCGAGAAGCCAGTCACGTCAGTATAACTCTTCTTTGGATGGAAAATGAAGCATTGCTTGCCTATGTTTAACAGCTTCACAAGTGAAAAACAACTCTAATTACAATTTGGAACCTTATTATAACCCACACTTGTGGTTGTCTCTCATGTGTAGAGTTGATGTTCATAAGCAAGACTTCATTATCCCTCCAAAGAATAGTCTTGGGCCTAGGTCAAACGATTTTGTCTGATTGTAGAAAACAGATAACAACATGGGTCAATTGAATACCAGTTCGAATAGTTCATGTGTAAAATGATATAATTAGAAAGCCACAAGTCTAATTGATTTTTCAAGAATAATTTGAGAAATAAATGAAATTTTCTCTTTTTATAATTCTAACATGAGAAAAACGCCAAGGACTGTTAATGAAGGGATCACATTAAAACTCAATTATATGAGATTTAAATTGATAAATTTAAAACTACGGGAACCAATTACTTTGCTCAAATTAGTGGAGCTAACAATATAATTTATTCTTCACAATATTTTAAATTGTGAACTAAAGACAACAAACCATATACATTGAAGACCATCATGTAATTAATCCAAAAAATACTATAATTTAAACAGAAAAATATTGTGTGCATAATTATAGGGATCAAAATAGAATTCAAAAAAATTACACTGGTTGTGTATATAATTTATTTTGAATTTCATTTTGATCTCTCTAGTTTTACATGTGTTCTTTTTTAGTTTAAAATCATAACTATAAATTCACATTGTAATAAAAGTAAAAGTGTAAAGTTTAAATTGTTTTGAATTAAAACTATGAGAACAAAATAAAATTTCACTCAAAATACAGGGATCAACAACATAATTTACCCAATAAAAATGAGGCCTTTTTACAAGACTTTTGAAAATTTGGGAATTTCATGTAATAAGAAATCATTTAAAAAAATGACAACAATAAAAATATAAAAAACAAAAGAGATTTTAACTAACCCTTTCTGGAATTCCAATGAAAGAGAGTGAAGGAGCAAGCTTCGGTGGGAAAACATGTTTGTATAAAGGTCCAACACGTTTATCCTCAACACTTACAATTCCATTTGTTTTCAAAAATGGAAAATTGTATTTGTACCTACACAAAAATGAAGCAAAAAATAAAAATAAAATAAAAAGTTAAATTACAATTTTCACCATTCAACGTTTATTCAAATTTCACTTCACTCTCTTATATTATAATAGTAATGATTAGGTCTTAAAACTTTCGGCCTTCGTTTGGAATGTGAATTAGCTATTTTAACCTGGGGCTAAAAAGCCTCGTTTGTGATAGGCTTTTTGGATTTTTTGACTTTTGTGAGGAAAAAAATAAAATATTTATGGTTTGGATATAATATTTTGTCATATTTAACTAAAATAATCAATTTTATCTTATATACTCCCTCCGTCCCAAAATAATAGTCCATTTTGGGGAATCCAACTTTTTTTAGTAGTACAATTATTGCATTTGAAAAAAGTTAATTTTTCAAAATTATCCTTTTTATAGTACATTTTTTGGGAATATCAATGTCATAATTATACTTTTTATATTGTTTATTAATTTAAAACAAGGGCAAAATAGGAAATTTATATTATTTTTGTACTTGATTTTTGAATAGGGACTAATATTTTGGGACAATAAAAAATGAAATAAGGAACTAATATTTTGAAACGGAAAGAATAACTATTTTAGCCCAAATAAACATGCCAAACATAACCTCACTCTTATTTTAAAGTAGTCCTCTCGTGATTCACCGTTAAAAAGCTCGACAAAATGTATCTCACCTAATGGTTAGGTGAGCAAGTTCTTAAGGTGTTAAAGGAAAAATATTATGAAACAAATTTACACTTTTTTATTTCTGAGCCTTTCACTTCCATTTTATTTTGGGTAAATTACAGTATTATTTTTTATAGTTTAAATACGGTGTCACTTTAGTCCCTCTAATTTTAATTTAAATAATTTGAATCTTATACTTTTGATTTTATTGCAATATGATCCTTTCATTACTTACTGTCATAATTTTGAACAAATAAAAACCACGAGCAAAAAAATAAGACTAAAGTGGAACACAAAACAAATGTTAAAGATCATACTTTAAGGACTACCATAAAGTTTGTTTTGAATTTCATTTTAATTCCTATAGTTTTGTATGCGATTTTTTTTTTTTTCCATTTAAAAATGTTAATGGAGGGACGACATTACAACAAAATTAAATATGCATGATTCAAATTAAAACTATGAAAATTAAAGTGAAACTTTACTCAAATTAGAAGAGACCAATGGTTTAATTTACCCTTTTGGTTTTGTGCTTCATGTTTCAATTTTTACTTAAATAAAAGAAGGATTACATTGAAACTCAAATTGAAATTTAAAATTTTAGTGGTTGTAATTAATAGATAAAGAATCAAAGTAAAGGAGGAGAGTCAAGAAGAATGATGGATCATACCCAGTGCAGTGGAAAATGGTATCTGCATGAACATAGGATCCATCTTCAAAGGCTACTGTCCCATCTTCACAAACATTCACTATCTGTAATAAAGTTCAAAATCAGTTGGACCATAACCAGGTCAGTGGAAAATGTTTTATGAGGCATGCTTGGTAAATGCTTCTTTGGGAAATAAAAAATAAAAAAAAAAAACCTTCAGAATTTGATCATTGCAGCAAAATAAACTTTCAATTTTTAATTTTATCAATTTGAACCTTAATCTTTTGATTTATTTTTAATATAAACTATTTACTTATTTTTGTTAAATAAAACTAACAAGAAAATGATATTTTGGCCACTAAATAAGATGTACATAAAATGTCTTAAAAAAAATTGTTGTTGAGTTTAATGACTAAAATATTATTTTTGGGTCAATTTTACTTAATGAAAAGAGGAAAATGGTTTAGATTAAAAAAGAATCAAAAGATAAGGTTTACATTGACAAAATTAAAAATTCAAGATTTATTTTATTATAATGGTTAAACTTTGAATTTTTTTTTTTAATTTTTCCATTTTTTAAAAAGAAACGTTACTATACGTTTCCAAAATATATAACCCAAAAAAAAAAAACACACAAAGAATCCATGATTAGTGAGGTAGCTATAGTAGGGTGGCTGTTAGTGGTGGTCGACGAGGGAGGCAAAAAAAAGAGAATGAAAACTTGTTTCGAAAATATTTTTCTTGATTTTTAATTTTTTTTAAATTATTATCTTTTTTTTTTTTTGATGAATTGAAAACAGTTTCCAAATTTGTTTTTGTTTACAATTTTTAATTTAATAATAAAACCCCATTACCAAACATGGCTTTCATTGGATGTCTAAGAGAGACCTACCTACCTTTGAATGCTGCCATATGTTGTGATGATTGTCAAGCTTTGAGACTTGAAGATGTTGAGGTGATCTTGATGAAAGGTGAACTTCTTTGGCAACCGTTGCAATTTCTCTTGATATATCAAATGCACTTGGTCCATTTCCAATCATAACCAACACCTATTATTATTAGATGGAGATTAAAATATTTAGTAAATACTTGTTGATCAACTGAATTCATAGGAACTTCCAACTAATGCCTAGTTTTGGAATATATTGGTAGTAACCTTTTAGCTTGTTTAAAAAAAATGTAAAGAAAAGTAAAGAGAGTAATGTGACAAATTATAGTGATTTTTTAATTTTTTGGCTAAAATATTTAATCTCCAAACGAGACCTAAGTAGTTCAAGGGTTCCTTCATAAAGGGAAATTCTATTATTAACAAATTAAAAATGAAAATATATAATATTATATTTTTTAAATATTAGCTTTTTTAAATATGAGCTATAATGAGGTGTGTTTTGTTTTAAGAAAACGACTTCTATTCAGTTTGGGCTTGAATTGGGCTAAGCAGTTTAAGTATCAAGATTGTCATACATAAGCAGTTTACAGCAGATTATATCATACAATCAAGGAGAAATTATCCATCAGTTGTCCTATAAAAAAATAATACAAAATCATGAAAAAGTTTATAATTTTAATTATTAATATATATATATATATATATATAAAGTTTACCACTTATATGTATTTAAAAATAATAATAATACTGATTTAAATTTCCCCTACAATCAAAAGCATATTAGTCATCACATACCTGATTTTGATATAGTTTTGGATGACGATAATTATGACTATGTACTTGCTCACCAGGCCATTTCTCGATACCTGCTCAGTAATTTAGTTATATATATTATCAAATTAATAATGAGAGATAAATAAATTATCACAAAGGATATCAAACTCTTCCATAGGAGTTGAATCTAATACATCACACTATAAAGTGTGTTACAGAATCACTAAACCAAATGTCTTGAATGTAGTTTGAATAATTTGAATAGTTTATTTTGTAAAATTAGATAAATTCGATATAATCATATAATGATTAATTTTTGATTAACTTGATCTTGCATATTTGTCAAAATATGATACATGTTTGATTGTTGGATAAAGATGAGAGATAAGGTCCGGGTACAACATGGTTTTTAGTTGGATGTTTGTTTACAAAGTATTAAAAGTTTGGATAAATTCGGTCCTACTATGGAAGATTAAATGAAAAAAAATGAAGTATTACAAGAAATTGAATGAAGTATTCGGTCCTATATAATTAAATAATTATGTAGAAATTGAAGTATTACAACTCACATATACATGAAAAGGTTTAGAAATTTAATTATTAATATATATAAATTTTACCATTTATGGATAATTTATTTTCTACACATACACCGAATAATATTTTCTTCAAAAAAATAATTATATATTTTTATCTCATTCTAGTCAAACATAATATTTCATTACCTTTATCAAATTATTTCATCTATCACCTAATTTCATAATATAATTTATCCCAACAATTCTATTAATAATCTCATTTATAATTCAATCTCATCTAAAACAACTCTACATTCAACTATCGCTAATAAGTAATGTTATATAAAATAAAAACAATTTGCACATCATATAAATTTTAATAAAAATATTTTTTTTGGTTGACATTTTCCATATGTAAAATAAATACTAAAGGCACAAATATGTTCTCAATTTTTTCTGTCCGTTTGTCTTACTATAGTCATTTACTGAGTTTTTTCCCCTCTAAACCCATTAAATCATGCTTTAAAATTCACCAGTTTAAAAATTTTTACAAAATTAAATGGGGAAACTAGATTTTGATATTATGAAATTCTAAGATGACCTTTGGGACAATAATTAACAACGTTAAGTATCTAAAAATTTACTCAGAAAAATACGCAAACTACATCATCGAGATTGATTTCAAATATGAGTCTCACTTCAGTTCACAAAATAATTTTCTGAGTAAATTTCTAAATAAATTTTCTTGTCTACTTTTTTTTTTTTTTTTTTGGGAAAATAATTTTGGTAAGAAAATTAGCTAACCTGGAAGATTGGCCGCTTGAGGTTGCGTGTTGTGACCATTGCAAACCACTACTGCCTCAAACACCTCTTCCCGATTCGACTCATTCGTCCTTGACTCAACAACCCACTCATCATTCCTCAAGTCAACCCTCTCAACTCGGACGACTTCAGTTCCAAACCGAATCAACTCAGTGATTCCGAATTCCCTCGCAAAGTCGTTGAGAAATCTCAACACCTCTTCGTGCCTGGGAAAATTCCTTCGATCTCCATTTTCTCGGATGCCAAACGGGTAATCCGAGAAACCCATGAGCTGTCGAGGGAGATTGGTGCGAAGCGAAAAGTAGAGACTGCTGTGAACGATCTCTCTGTTTGAGTCGAGACCGAGTTGATCAGCCTCGACTTGTGGATCGAAGACCCATGTTCCACCGAGTTGGTCGGCCTTTTCGAAGATCGTGACTCGGTGGTTTTCTCTTTGAAGTTCACGGGCGGCGATGAGCCCCGCCGCACCGGCTCCGATCACCGCCACCTTTAGACACGGTCCCATATTATATATTCTGTATCTCTATGTTTTGTCAAAGAAAGTGACAAGGAATGAGAATGCTTATGGAAAATTATTGAAGTATTTGGGAGTGGGTTGTTAGACCTTACGTGTCTTGTTGCAATTAATTGAATTATTTATTTTGTTGAGTAACGTGGGTGTTTTGTTCACAAAAAAAGAAAAGTTAGAATAATTCGTTAATTTTCATTTATTTAATTTATCGCGTTTGTTCCTAAAAAAATATATCACAATTGTGTTTTTAAAATTAAATTATTCATTTTTTTTTTTTTTACAAACGCAATAAATTGAATAAGTTACGATTATCAAATCGATTTAATTTTTTGTATAAATAAAATACGAAGTGCATAACAAAATAAATGATTCGAATTATCGATATGGGTACAAAATCATCCAATCTAGATTTGGACTAAAGGGATTCCACGTCCAATTTGATTTATTGTTATTAAGTAGTTAAGAAATAAAACATGACACATTTAATAAATTGTAAAATTTTTATTTGTCAGGATAACTACATAGATGACATTAGGGGTGTTCAACGGATATTTTGATTCGTTCAAACCATCTGAATCGAACTTAACTGATCTGATCCACTGCATTTGAACGGATGCATGATAACGAGCGGACGGTTGCGAATTGATTTTTTCAATCCACCTAGTTTTGGACGGATAGCATATTCAAGATTTCTTTAGCCGCAGCCAAACCGCCAAATTGCGAGCACCCCTAGTAATTTGTAAGACTTCTTTTTTTCAATTTGTTTAGATATTCTATTTGTGTTTTCACTTGAAAAAGAGTTTAGATATTCTGTTATGTTTTCAATTTAGAAATCTTTTTATCAAATGACAAGTGTTGATATTTGGTATTTTTATGTAAAAAATATAAGGTTTAATTTTGTCATTTAAAAAAAATCAAATTAAATAGTTTTTGAATAAAAAAAAGTAATGAATTAATTTTAATAACGCATGATTTTCTTATATGTATTTATTATTGGTATTTGACAATTTACGTGATAATCTTTTAGTTATGTTGAGTTGGATTGTTATCCAAAAAAAAAAATGTTGACAAATTATTGTATTATGTTCAAAATTTGTAAAAGTTTATACCGTCAAACCGATTCACATCTATCTGCCAATCTGTCAATCCGCTCAATCTGCATCCGCCAATCTAATGGACGAATGTGGATTGATTTTTTTCTAATCCGGCAATCCAACGGATGGATGGTGGATTGGAGGTTCCCTAACTACAGCTGAATCGCGAACACCCCTAGATGACACCCTAGAGAACTGGAGGACTAATTAATAATTTTTCAATATTGTGGTTGTTTGGTTTACAAGCTTTAGGGTTGTAAAATTGCCTTGACCTGGTCTGGTCCACCTGAGTCCGGGCTTCAGCCGGCCTACGGTTGAGTCATTTGAGTTACGGCCAAAATTTAGGTCGAATCGGCTCATGGGCTAGAAAATTATGCCCAGACCCACTCAAAATAGGGCTTGGGCTTGGCTCGGGGTTGCAGGCTAGGCCTGGGGCGCTTTTTTTAGAGAACTGGATGAATAATTAAATAATTTTTCAATATTGTGGTTGTTTGGTTTACAAGCTTTAGGGTTGTAAATTTGTCTTGACCTGGTCTGGTCCACTTGAGTCCGGGCTTCAGCCGGCCTACTGTTGAGTCATTTGAGCTACGGCCAAAATTTAGGTCGAATCGGCTCATGGGCTAGAAAATTATGCCCAGACCCACTCAAAATAGGGCTTGGGCTTGGCTCGGGGTTGTAGGCTAGGCCTGGGGCGCTTTTTTTTTTTGCAAAAAATAATTGATGATAATATATAGATTATTTATGAGGTATAAAAAAATTGTATTATAGTATTTTAGTTAAGATTAATGAGATGTTTGGTTATATTTCATGTGGTGGTGTTATTTAGTAATAGTTATGTATAACTTATGTTTTTTTAGTTATAACTAAAAATAAATAAATATGAAATTATGTAATTTTCTTCTTTTGTTATGACATTATTTTAGTTATTATGATTCATGAAAATTATTTGGTATGACTTGTGTGGTGTTTAGTTATAACTTTTTCTTTTTTTGTTTTGTTTTGTTTATAGTTATGACTAAGTATCAAGTTATGTCATTTTCTACTATAATTATAACTAATTTTCTTTTTAATTTATGACATTATTTTAGATATGATTAATGATATATTTGGTTATTATGTTATGTTTTGTAGTTATGACTCAAAAAATATAAAATTATACTATTTTCTTATTTAGTTATAAGGTGCTTATAGAGTCTTTCCCGAAAGAAATTGAAATGAAATGAATAATGTTATATATATTAAAATGAAACAAAATATTACAATTATTAAATTAAATAGATAACATTTAATGAATAATTTTTATATTAAAATGCTCGAGAGGTAAAATGTTGGGCCAAATCCAAAAGCAATTAGGCAGAGCAGCCCAAAGGAAATAATAGACCTAGATAAGTTTCTAAGGAGCTCATTAGAGACAGTTGGCAGAACAAAGGCACATTGTTGAGCTCATGAGGAGCAAGGAAAATGTGAGATTTCCTTCTAGAAGGAGATCAACAGAATGCTAGAGGATTGTTGGATTCATTTTCATCCAACAGTGGAGACATCAAGCAACAAATACAAAGACATAGGTTAGGCCTACGAAGCGACATAACCATCCAATCAGCTTGATCTAATGAACATAGCACTTGGCAAGTTGGCTACTAGCATCTAACACAATCTAAGTTGACCAAGAGAGGTCGACCCAACAATCAAAGGCAAAGACGACATAGACACTAGCTCGACCAGGCCTAGAAGCGGGCAGAACCCTCGGATCGACCATTGATCCAACAGATGGGACTCAAGTTAGGAAAACTATAAAAGGTGAAGTAGGTGAAACAAAGAAAGTAGGGGGAGGTAATCTAGAAACCTTCTTTTAAATACAATACTCTTATGGTCGGATGACATTTTGACTTGATTGTCGGAGGTTCTTCCCGACCATCCAAGGTTGGGGATGATCACTGATGATTTAGTTTCTCTTTGCAAAATAAAAGAAGGGACACTTTATCTCGCTTTTCTTGTGGGAATAAATCTACCTTCCACAAAAATGAAATAAAATAGGGTAAATTATACTTATTTTTATTGAGATTTCTGACGATCACAAAGATCTTCCCTAAGGTTTCGAAAAGTATACTGACCTCCTATACTTTATGTGACAATATACAAATAGCTCACTTCTGTTAATTTTTTCCTAGACACCGTTAACTTTTGCAATGAATTGCCAAAAATACTCTCTATTTGCTCTTTTCTTATCTCTTTTCCTTCACCAACCATACCTATTTTCCCTCCCACTTTGTAGTTATCATGGGCACTGGGCCTGTAACACAATTTCTAAAGTTAAATTATTGTATTTAAAAAAAATAAAATAATGATACAATTATGTATTTTTATGATAATTTTACGTTTTTTCACCGAAATATTACTAATAATTTGGACTATGATATAATCTATTATAATCGAGTAACATTTTGATAAAAAATAATATTATCATAAATACAAAACTGTGTCACAATTGTTATAACAAACAATATCTAATAATAAATTATCATCGCATTATCAAAAAAGTAGATAACAATTATTACAAAAATTTGTAATATTTATAAGAAAAATACATAATAAAATAGTGTGGTAGTTATGGTAAGTGTATCAAACAATTTCTATCTCCAAACCAACTGATACAAAAAATGAAAAATTAATATGATTTAATTTTATAGAAGGTTGAATAATGATTTTGAAATCGAACCCATTTGGGTTTAGTGTTCTTGATAGAGCATGAATGTTTGATTGCAAATAAAGATATAAAAAATTAGGAATGATGAATCTCTAAATGAATAAGAAATTAAAAAATAGGAATTGAATTGATCAAATTTTTATGATGGGCCTAGTATTTGGGTGAAAGAAGTTGCATGCTCATCTTTTGTAAATGTTAGAATTTTGCCAATATGTGTGTGTGTGTGTGTATATATGTGTGAAAACGGTAAAAAAAATACGAAAAAAAGTGTATATTGTATATATTTTATTAGGGAAATTCTATAATACGCACACTATTTTGGGGTGTATATCATATGCCCAAATTATTACGTTTATAATTTTGGTTATGACCTATTTTTATGTTAATGATGATTTAGTTATGACGTATTGTGGTGTTGGTTACCTATTGTGATTATTATTTTGGTTATTATTGAAAAAGTCTTTGATTAAACTTTATGTTGTGTTTTGTTATGACTAATTATTTTTTTTAGTTCTAACATTTGTGATAATCAGCACCATAAGTATCATAATTTGCATAAACATCACCCATTTTATTATGTAATTTTTTTATATATAAATATTAAAAAAATTTGTAGCAAATATTAATTAATTTTCTAATTGTGTGATGATAATTTATTATTATATATTGTTTGTTATAGCAATTGTGATACAATTATGTATTTTTATGATAGTATTATTATTATTGTTATTGTAATGAAAATGTTACTCAGTCATAATAGATTATATCATGTTTCAAATTATTGATAACATTTTCATTATTAAAAAAAAAAGGCGTATATTATCATAAAAACACATTAATTTCATTTTAGAAATTGAGCTACAAGCAGGGAAGCAATGACTAGAGTAACTGCAAGTTGGAAGAGGGAATAATTAATGGTTGAGGGAGGAAAATAAAAGAAAAAGAGCTAAAAAAGGGTGTTTTGGGCAATTCATTGCAAAAATTAAGAATGTCTAAGGAAAAGTTAACAAAATGGAGATATTTGTATATTGTCAGCTAAAGTCAGGGAAATCGGTGTAGTTTTCAAAACCTTAGGGGAGGTTTTTATAATTATCAGAAATCTCAATGGAGATAAGTGTAATTTATCCAATAAAATATTATAAAAATTTATATTATTACATAAAATAGATTTGGATTATTAATGATAGTAGAGAAATTGCATCATTATAGGTCAAGTACATTTCAACTATATTGACACCTACTAGCCTGCCATTCATTTATATTATACTCTACCTCAATAATCTA